CTCCTCCTCCTCCTCCTCCTCCTCCGAAGCCAGGTTGAATTTCCGAGTAACTTTTGGAATTAGTCCTCAAAATCTACACTCGTTTCTCGCCACAGGAAAATTATGGCCTCATCTACCCGTTGTATTCGGAAATTTGAATTGCTGGTTTTCTAGCTTTTTGTTGCTTATCACCAGTTGTTGACGTGATTGCACGATTCTACCCAGCAAACTCGTCACGAGTCTGTCAGCAGCAGTCACCCGTGGCTGACAGCGGAGACAACGCGCGTTCTCGAACGTGTTATTATTTTCCTGAAGTGTCACAAAACGCCAACAATTTGCGTCGAAGAACGTTTACGTCGCGCTCTTCTCTACTGGCTGGTGTTGTCGACAGCCCTGGCGGCTGCGTGGACGTCAGTTTTCCCACCGCGACTGGTCTTCCTCGCCCCCGGCGTGATGTCTCGACATCAGCAGGCGTCAAAGGTGTTGGGGTGGAGGGGGGAGAGGACGTTTGTTCCTGCACCCGTAGTTTCTGACGCTAATGGCCGACCCATTGTCCGCGCTGAATGCTGCCACACGCGTCCACGTGGGCCCATCTGTCGAGGTGTGTCCGAAGGACCCAGGCAAGCAGTTGGGAGGGGCACCTATTAATTTATGGTTACCCTGTATGTACTTTTCTCCTCCAAGGGTAGTCCGTCTCACCCAGTAGCTGCGACCGTTGAGCACATTTAACGCGGGCGTATTCACAGATCTTACACTGTGTTTAAGCCGACAAAAAACTATGCGTTCGAAAGGGGATTCTAAACAACGCCGGAGCTTTACGCCGGCATGACCAATCTCGTGAAACGTTGGCCAGAATTCTGAAATGTGTTTTCGAATAGGAAGGATTAATAAGGTGACTTTGCAATATTATTTAGCATGTAACACAATCTTATAGATTTTCGGACTCGTTAAGAGGTCGGCTTTAGAATGCACTTTCCTTTGTCCTCTGGCAGAAACCGTACTGGGTAAAAATGACTACTTAATAAGCATGCTTTTTTCCCACTGATTTTCGATGGTCGTACAAATTTAAATATATTCCCTAGAAAATACGCACAAAAATATGCTTTCTTTTACTTTTTTTGTAGAAAATCACATTCCCTTCATACTTAATACCCCGAGGAAGGTTATCTTCCGGTTTTAAAAAGGTTTCCCAATTCCCGAATAATTTTGAGCCCAATCGGCCGTTGCATTGGCGTTTAGCGATTTCAGTCTACAAGCTGTATGCGTTCCGCGTAAGGAAAATCATATATTCCTCTATGTTTTTAAGAAGATACTATAAAGGGTTTTAAAAAATATGCAACAAATAGGGGCTATGTTGTACATTTCATGAGGAACATTGGTAAACGGACACGTTCGAAGATGTATATAAGAACATCGCACGGTTTTAGAAGTCTCATAATTAGAAGCCTTTTTGAAACCGGAAGACAACCTTCCTTGGGATATAAATTGTGAAGAAATTGTGACTTTCTACCAAACAAGTAAACGAAAGTATATTTTTGTGCGTGTTTTCTAGGGAATATATTTGAATTTGTACGACCAGAGAAAATCATTGTGAAAAATTCATGCTACATACGTAGTCATTGTTTACCGGAGGACAAGAGGAAGTGCATTCAAAAGCCAACATCCTGATGAATCCGACAATCTTTAGGATTGTGTTGCATGATAATTAATATTGCAACGTGACCTTATTAATTCTTCCTATTCGCAAATGCATTTCAGAATTCTGGCCAACATTTCATGAGATCGGTCACGCACTGTACCTCCTGAAAGTTCGTGGTTTTAAAAATGTCATCCAATTCATCCTAAACTGTTTGAACTACGTGATTCTGAAACATGTAGCCAATTTTTCTCTGCCAGCAATCAAGCAGGGGGTTAAGGTGAACACAAACCGATTGGTTGTTATCGTGAAGAATGTGATCGGCAAAAGAATCCGATAACTGGAATGATCTCTGATCATTCGCGTCGTAGATCTGTAATTCTTTTGAACATTTTTATCACCATGAGTTATGGGCGCGCTCAATCGCGCGCTAAAAGACTCAACCAGGAGAATCGTAGATTCGAACACAGGTCAATTATTCGGCCAAATCTCTACAGCGTTCACCTCAGTGCTGAAGTTGACACAAGGTCAATTCTCAGATCTTCCAGGTTGGGATTAGATCATGATTAACTGACGGAGAGAACAATGCCTTTGATGGTCTCAACGTAACGCATATTTATCAGTGCACAGAGCTCTCCTCAAACCGTGTGCCGCAAAAAGTAAAGACCACCTGGGATGACCTATGTACGACATGTCGCCAGTGATCCAGAGTTCCCGAGGAATCTGCCTATTGGGTCCGTACGAAAAAGTGTGGTCTCGAGGCTAGGCCCACCCATACAGACAAGACTGTCTTCCGTCCCCGTAAACCCTGGCAGGTATGAGTGAAATCTTGTGTCGTTATTGGCGTTAAGTACGAAGGTCAACATCCCCCTCCCAGCCCTGACCTCTTGCGAGAGCCTCTCTTCTGCAGAACCCGGAAATGCAGGCAAACTCGCGTAGCGCATACAGACCCAACAAGAATATTTCCACGTCGATGGCAATCTTTCTGCCAGCCGATCTCACACGCACACACACATTGCGCTGCCTGCCCTCTTAATTGGCACCGCACGGCAGTGTGCCAGCTGGGGGTGGGCGGGGTGGGGTTGACTTGAGTCTAGTGGGTGTGTGCAAACTGCGTTGCACGTTGAGGCCGATGGAGTCGCCGACTCACTGTCGATGACTAATTAAGCAGGGCTTTTTCGTCTGTGCAATAATCAAATGAAGAGGTCTGGAGAGCACAATTTGGGTCAGCTGGTGGCAACAAAGGCAGGATTGAACGCAGCACGAAATCTGGGGGGAAGGAGTGATGGAGAGTGATGCGGAGGACGGGCAAGGAGATTAAGGGAAGGGACAAGAGGAAAAGTAAAGGGAGCAGTGGCGGGAGGAGAGGAAGGAAGATGAATAAGAAGAGGATCAGGAGGAGTGGGGACAGGGGTAGGGAGGAGAGAAGGAAGTTGTAGATGAAGATGAGGAAGACAATGAGAAGAGGGAAGAACAGGAAGAGAAGAGAACGATGAGAATAGGAACAAGAAGAAGAAGAAGAAGAAGAAGAAGAAGGAGGATGAGGAGGAGGAGGAGGAGGAGGAGGAGGAGGAGGCCAAACAGAATCACTCAGCAAGGAAATATGGGCATTTCCGAGGGGATCAACTTCAACAACTCTCATTGTCGAGGCTAACAAAAGGGGCAGAGCGTACAGCGAGTTGTTGTTGGCAATTCTATCTCGGAATGAATAAAGGTTAAAGTAATGTCCCACAGAGTTCTGTTTTAGGCCCATCACTCCGCCTGAATTGAAGTCAATCGTGTTAAATCGAGCAATCGAGCACAGACTAACTGAGCGTTTGGTCGAACAGATAGCTTCTATCAGATGACCAGAAGAATGAATATTTTTATTCATGTTTTACGTGAAATATAATTGAATGCTTAAAGGCATCGAAAATCAATGAGAAAAATTTACGTTACTTCAGTTGTCATTTTTTAATGAGCGCAGTCTTTGCACGCAGCCAGAATTATACCCTTCCTTCAAGTATAAAATTGAAAAATGACGTTGTTTTCTACCGAATGAGCAAAAGAATGAATATTTTTCTGCATGCTTTCCATGAAATATAATAAGACTTTTAATGGCATCGAAAATCAATGAGAAAAATGCATGCTAATCAAGTTGTCATTTTTTGAAGAGGGCAGTTTTTGCTCGCAGCCGAAAAGTTCTTTCGAAAGCCTGCATCCCAAGGTAACTGAATTATTATAGAACTATGCTGCAGGATGATTAGTTTTACAACGCTACTTAATTGATCTTTTCGAAACAAAAACACATTTCGGAATTTCGGTTGATATTTCATAAGTTAGCCCACCTACTGCGCATTGCACTGGATTGGACGTTCGTTTAAAATAGTTCCTTCTGAACTCTTCGAAAAATCTTAAGCGTTTCCGTGAGACCTCATTTGGAATACGGAATATCAGCCTGAACATCGTGAATGACGACAGATGTTGATCTCCTAAAACAGATGCAACGCAGGGCATCGTGGATAGTCGATGTTCTTAAGGATTAGTTGTATCAGGATAGGTCGAAGGAGCTGGCTTAATTTCCTCTATCCTACAGGCACCTAAGATGTAGCCTGTCGTGAACATTCCGAATTGTCCGTGGCCATGGTTGCTCGCTGAGACCGAAGGACTTCTTTGAGTTTGCACGCATAACTCAACTGCGCGGTCATTCTTGCAAGACCAGAAGCGAACGCAAACGGCTAGATCTCAGAAAAGGTTCTTTTCCCATATTTGATTTCAAAGGGGAACTCGATTCAAACTTTTTTATAAAACTCGTCCACCACAATTTTATTGCTTACAGCCAGCCTTGTGAACACACCGCGCTCTGCCGTCTTTCTACACCGATTCGCGGATAACGACAGATATGGTTCTAATTACATACTGTATTGTTACATTTTGACTCGAACACAATTCTAAATTCTCACAAGTTTATGCTGATCTAAAAATGCAATTTGAGTGTACATAAATAGGATCATCAAGGGCTACGCAAGTAACCCGACAGTTCGGCCGTTGTGACCAACAATGTCCACTGTGTGCTTCACAACAGGGTGAGAGCAGGCACGGTGAGTTGCACATAAGTTCTTTTATGGTGATAGTAGACTCGCGTCGCATGAGGATTCGGCACTGAACTATATTCTAGATAAGGCAGTGGCTCATTACGAACTTTATTCAATCGAAGCTTAGTATTCTGCATGCCCTGTTAGGCCTGAAAGTGGGTGATGGCCGCACATTTCCCTACAAACCACGCACAGAATTGAAGTGCTTTTTGCTTTGAACTTCTCAATAATATCCTGTGTTTTGGAACATCCCGATGTCCCGGAATATTACTATGGTGATCGGCATTCGTTCTCATCCCGCCCCTCAGTATATTACGGCCAAAGCACCACATCAATTTGGAGAAGAGTACTATTATCAACGACACCGACCTTCATGCAGCCGCAGAGTCTTGAATGGCTATTTTTTAAACATTTTCTGTCGAAAATCAAGGCAAGTAAATAAAAACTTGCTCAGATCATTTTCTCCATACTAGTAATTTTTGAAAGCGAGAAGCGATACTTTTCATCTGAAAATTTGCCGAATAATGTTAGACATTATACAATGAATTTTGTCAGACTCACTGAACAAAAAGAGTGAGTTCAACGAGACGGTGTGCACCCGAGTGTCCACAACTACTTTCCATTTTATGACTTTGTAGAATGCACTCTAATGAGGTTATCTTTCGGGACATGCGACCGTCGTATACAGCCTTCGATTGGTTGTTTTTGAATACGACAGTTGCGTGTTCTGAAACATTAGAGTGTTGAATGCTGTCCGCGAAAGGGGGTTTTTGATCGTAGGTTCGGTTGCGGACATTCTCAAACTGGGCTTCTAATTCTAACTGCTCAACCTTACTGTCTCAGGCAATAGCTTATCCAGTGACATGCCTAAATGGTTGTGCTCATAACCACCTGGATCTTTTGAAGGACTCGATTGTGGCTTCTTTCCGTGTACCCTCCGTAGAAGCGGGGATCTCTCTGCGCCACCAAGATTTTCTTCCCATGGATAGAGTGTAGCTTCCAACTTCGTGACTCTCATCTTCTGACAGGGTGTACAGAACTGCCGCGCGTTACCTTACTTGGCACTCTGGATTTTCCCTTTTTGCGTTAGTGCTTTCCGATTGATTCTTAACGTACCTTCTCAGTGTTTCGGTGATAATAACTGTGCGACTATGTCGCAGTGCCCACTAGTATTGATTTAGTTTCTCTCAATACATTTCCCGATATAGTTGGCCAATACTTTTACCTTCGGAAGTAGGTACCCATTTAACACTGAGGGTTCTTTGAACGGTTTTACAGTTGCGAAAATTTCCATGAGAATGTTCACAGACTAATTAGTAAGCATAAGCGCGTTTCGAAAATGTTCACCAGGTCGATACATGTTTTTGGAGATGAGGTCGAAAAAGATATGTAAGTAATTATTTACGACGCATTATATGCCGTTTTGGAGGCAAGAAGTGCGCATTCTGCGTTACATATTTTTTTGCGAAACTGACGGCATCTCATAAGACGTTACTTACTGTATTTATATGCTATCATACTTTGTGATCATTTAAAACACATTTCTCAATGCTGAGTTCTTTAGGGTGGAGTCACTTCATAAGACCTTTGTTGAATTTATTTAGATTAACTTGAACTTAGATGGAGCACCCCGTGTGTGGAAAGTATGTAACCACCCGATCAAATTCGTATTTAAAGATGTCCTCAGAAACTTGTGCCATGGCAGAGCAGGCACCCAAACTTTCTCTATCCGGACGTGGAGATCAAAGCATAAAACGGAGAGGGTGGGACGAACCGGACTCTCAGTCGGCGACGTCCTTGCCCTCCAAACGGACGTGAACGCGACTCACAAACATCACGTTCCGGTCCTGCGTCGCAGGAGCGTGTTCACGACTGAGTTCATTGCAATCTGTTTAAATCTGCAAAAAAGAGAAGAGCTCGTGATTCTGCCAGTCGTGATTGCCCGCGTATTGCGAAGCCGAAACCACATTATCGTCTCCCAGCAACCACCTGTGAGGATTTAATGCATCATCGACTCAGGGGGCCGAAGGACCTTGCTGCGAGGGGGAAATGGTCTCGGGTCGGGTTCTTCCACCTGGCGTAACTCCTGGCCGGCGAATTGCGGTAGGAGTGCTATCTCATGAAATTTTAACTGAAATTATGAAATGTGCTTACAATTCAGGAAGATAACCTGATAATATTAATTATCCCGCGGCGCAATCACTAGATATTTCAATCACAACAGGATGCCGGCTTCCGAATCAGCCTATTTCCGACGTATGCAAAAACTGCACTCTGTAAAAATGACTGCTTAAGTGTAGTGAATTTTTCCTTTAGATTTTCCATGCCTTATCAATCAAAAAATATTATATGAAGGGCATTAACAAGACGATTTCTTTATGTACTCATTTGGTAGCACACTGCGTCTTTAAATTTCATATTCGAAGAGGGAATATCTTTTGATTTTTAAAAACTTTCTATCTAGGAAACTTTTTAGGATCGTAAAACGTCCATGTATGCAGCCTCGCATCAAAGTATCTAACCTGGTCCACGTCCATTTCAAAATTTTGTGAGCCTTAGATGGCTTCCTCCTAACGGCATAGTGAAATATGTGATATTTTTGGCTTAATTGCATAGAACATGTAGTTTGAAAATCCTGAATGCACGTGTAACGGCAGGTTAGGCCAAACACTATTTGGGGATTGAAAAAGTATCTAAGCCAAAAGGTACTCTCTCACCAAGTAGAACATTTAAAAAAGACACAAGTTACCATTAAATGAGAACAAGGAAGAATTTATTCTTGTGTTCTGTACAGCGTAGTTAAATTTATCAGGGCATCGGAAATCAGTGGGGAATTTCAATACTACTTGTGTAGTTTCTTTTTAAAGAGGGCATTTTTTGCAGATGGTCGAAACTAGACTCATTCAAAAGCCGGAATCAGTTATGGCGGACACACCCTTACCGAAATTACGCATGCCTGTTTGCGTCAACGGCCAGCTGGGACCACAAGAGACACACACGAGGCTCAGCGCATGCTAGACGCTCATCCACGACCCACCGGCGTACTGACACCGCGCACTGGGTAAGTACAATCGGGCCACGCGATATACTCACTAGACCAGCACCGGGACTGCATCGGATTTCTAGCAGGTGTTATCGAGACTGCGTACCCATGGCAAATGCCAACTTTCGGGGTGCTGTGGCAGACCCATTTACAGGCTCACGACACGCCAGCTGGCATCCCTGCCGCTTCCATTGTTGTTTTTGGTTGAAATCCTGGTCAAGGGCTTGTTACAGACCAGGAGGTGCGTTGGCATACCCAGGTTCCAGTCACCTGAAGTTTCTCATGTCTCCTGTCTTTTTGGCTTGGTCATGACACCGGATCTTGGTGGGCTAACTCATGAAATGTCAACCGAAATTCCGAAATGCGTTTTCGTTTCGAAAAGATTAATTAAGAAGGGTTGTAAAACCAATCATCGTGCAGCATAATTCTATCACAATGCAGCTACCTCATGATGCCGGCTTTCGAATCAGCTTCTTTTCGGCTGCAAACAGGAACGCACTGTAAAATGACTACTTAAGTAGCATG